TTGTTAGTAGTATATATATATATTATATATATATATATATATATATATATATATATATCTAGTTAGGAATATACTAGGTATTTAAATACATATATATATATATGTGTGTGTGTGTGTGTATTTTATGTCTGTATATGTATATGTAAGTATTGTATATATATAGATATACATTATATATATATATGTATATATATATATATATATATTATACATACACATAATATACATACTTATTTACAGTCAAAACTATATGTATATATATATATATATACTATATTCATACATACATATATATATATATATATATATATATATGTATATATATATAGTGTGTGTGTGTGTTTATTGTGTATTATTATATGTATATGTAGGTATGTATGATATGTTGTATATTATAGTGATATATTGTATGTTATAGTATATAAACAGATATATATATATATATATATATATATATACGTGTGTCTGTGTGTCTTTGTCTGTGCATATATTTATATATATATATATATATGTGTGTGTGTTTGTTTGTATTTGTATGTGTGTTCTTTTTTGCGTGCGTTTGTATATCTCTAGGATCTTCATGCATTGGGATGTTCTTTGCATTCATTTACATATGTTCCACTTGGAATTGTTATACACACAGTCACTCAATGAAACACTTTTACACCAGCATCGATATCAAGTCTGTACTATATGCGTATGGCAGTAGAAGTATTCGATGAATGACTCGTCGGTAGACTCTGATTCGAACGTGGTTGATGTACTCCTCATAGATTTTCCTTATCACTCGACATGTATTATAAATACACACAAATTGGTTGATACTAAATATCATGCAATGTTGGCCGGCTTACTTATTCTTACTTTGGATGACATGTCCTGCAGAACTTGTAATCAGATCGTTTATTTCAGTACTATCAACTTCACCCAAGCATCTCGGGTTTGATTTTTCAACGACGCATTTTCTGTAAAGTTTTTTCTCCGGTTCAATATTCAACCACCCTTGCTCCTCCAAAGTTGTCATTCTCATTTTAATTGACACCTTTACGTACCATAGGTGATCCGTCGTCAAGTGGGTCAGGGTCAGGGAGGAACTTTTGAGAAGGCGCTTCCCATTCACTATTCAAACCTGGCTTTGTATGAACCCGAAGTAGAGTAAGTGCTGCTGTCAGGTGGAAGTGAATCTATGCATATGCATTGTACATACGTGGCAGTTATATGTGCGCATGGTCACATCTGTCGCATAGAAATAGTACGGTATTATTCCCATTCATCGACATTCATCGACGTACTGAATTAACTCCTGTGTGTGTGTATGCACACATATACATATTTGTGATACGTGGTGTCGATCTGTTTATGATACCCAATTGATCGTCTAGATTCGACATATTCTGTTTACATTTTAGACCTAAATTGAAAATTCCGGAAGCCCACACTGAAACTCGTACGTGGTGAATGTATCGATATTTTTGTAACAATTGTCTGACGCGCATGTCTTGGCTTCTCTGTCATTTTGCGATTGAAAATCGCATTCCTAGCTTGTACGACCGTATGAAAAGCTCAATGAGGAAAACACTGAATATTTGAAATTTAGTTATGTTGTAGTGTTGATACACATTTAATTTTGTTTTATTTTTGCCTTCCGTTTGTTCCACCAGCTTACACGGCCACTTGAAGTTTGCTGTTTCTACGTCGCTTAACAGCACGACTAGAAACCATTTGGATACAGATACGTTCTTCAGAGTACAGTTAAGAATAGCTAGTTCGAAGTTGCACATTTATTTGATATTCTTGTTTTAATCGACAATTCATTATAAACCAGTGGTCCGATCAAAACTTGTTGGCGATATAATGAGGCTGGAAAACACGTGCGCATATCCAAGGTGACGGGTAAACCCATGCCGGTGCCACAGCCATACCTGAAGAAACCTGAGCCAGGACCAGGTGCGTGACATGTGATCATTGTGTAGTGTGCGTATTTAAGCAAGCATATGTATGTATATACGACTACAACGATCATGGTTTGGTTGTTTGTGTATGTTCTGTCATGATTTACTTCGGATTTTCAGCGGGTCAGGTTTATTGGATTGAGTATATTCGCATATTCCAAATGGGTTTAATCGTGTATTTTCGGAATGGTTTTCGTTATCACATTTATGAAGTAAGTGGAGCTGTGCCGACACGAAAGAATTAACTTTCAATACGAGGAATCTGTTGGTAAACAGCTTCTTCGTATTGAGTAATAAGCGATCTACGAAGTTCAAACTTTCACACCACTAAATTACTTTTAGAAATAGTTTCTGCTAACTAGAAGGCCTTATTTCCATCTCGGACCAGAATGTGCATGCGCATTGTCGCATATCTGTGAAATTACCATATATTTGTATCACGTGAATTGTATGATTGTACCCAGCTTAGGTAGTCAAGCCCAAACCTGTGGGGCCATCGCTTAGACTTAAGAATGCGTATTTTGCATCACTCGAGATGGAGTGAGAACATATCTTCTGATTAAGTATTGCAGTGTCCGTTTTCGGCTTGAATTCGGCCAACATTATTGATGTTATTGTAGTCGCCGGAGCCTATTTTCATGAACCGCACCATAATCACTCAAATGTGAGTATGTATGTCTCTGTGCGGCCTTTCTTCGCAGAACATTTGTTATTTCCCCTTGTATATATATATATATATATATACATGCGAGAAAATGAAGAAAAAAAAGATATGTTGAGGTCTGCAATTGGAGAAGCTAGGTCTATTAACTCCTCACTACCCGTATCACACCCCATACACAGCTGGACCTAAAGATTCATTCATGAACGAAGTACAAGATGTGACATACAAGCCTATCCAGATGACTTTCGAGAAGTACATGCAAAAGGCTCAGATGGCGCGCAGACAGGCGTCGGTGGGCGGTCGTGTCGACAAAACAATCTTGCACGCGTCCAGGCGAAACTACTTCTAGAACAGCTGTTACGCACCGCGAATAAACTACTTTGTGATTGTCTCAGACAACGGAATTGGCGATGTGGGACTTCTGAAATCAAAAATACTTTTTGCGAATTCTCAATAGGTGAATGGGAAATGAACAGTTGCGTGATTCTTGATATCTAGATATTCTCCCAACTCGAGATAATCGCAATGTGCCTAACTGTATCTACGAGGTGATTGTTAGTGTAAATAGACCTTTATATGTGAAATTCCGGCTTGTAACTGTAATATACGCTTTTAGTTGGTGACCGGCCTTCATTTGTCACCATTTGGGTCCCAAATACCAAGCTCTCATATAATTACATTCGAAAAACGAACAAGTCGAATCTGTTGTAAATGAACTCTATTCATAGGTCGAAGCATTGTATACTGTGTGAGAGGGTATAACCCCGTACTGTATCGTTCAACACATCGAGTTAAATCCACTGATAGGAATTTGGGCATTTCAAATTGCTAATCTGTGGAAGCATTCAGAAGCGCTGGTATAACGATAAAATATCAAGAATGATATGAAATAGTTTTGTAAAATCCTCCTGATTATTCCTGAAAATTGCTTGGCAGATTGTTCTCGTCGAAAGGATTGTACTACACAGTAAGACGATGAAAACGGAGCAGCTTTAAACGTTCCTTTATGGGCTAGAAACAAAGATTGAATTAAAGATTTCGATTATTAATTGGCTCTATTTCGGTTACTGGATCATCTAGAGCCAGAGCAAGCTTAAGCCTTCTCGGTTGGCCGCTATCTGCGGTACTTGTAGCATATGAAGGCTAGATGGAAAGTGAACATTCTTGTACGTGCAACTACTCAAGTGTAGATGTGGTCAATTGCTGCAGGAACCTTGCCATGGCCGATGTACATAACTAGTAATAATTCGGAAGCAGAAATTTCAAGCAATTTAGTATTTATTTTTTTGCGCGTGTAAATATATAGACTGTCGATTGTTACTTAAGTCAGAATACACGTATTGTATGTATTTAAAAATAAAAGAAATGTCTGATTGATTGTAGTCAAAGAAATCGTGTTGAATATACAATTTGTTGCACACCC